GGAAGGTGAGCATCATAGAATGCCAATTTAATAGAAGAAAGTATTCTTGCATTGAGGGAGTACTTGAGTGGAGGCTCAATGTCCTTCTGCTACGTTAGTACTAAACCTAAAGATATAGGCACATAGATCTATTTCCCCATCCTCATATAAATATATTTGCATATGTACATGTCTTTATCTAGACCTCAAGCCATTTTTCTTAGATTGATTTTTTTCCCATTTCTTGGTTTGATTTTCAAGTCTGTGTCTTGAAGTGTAAGGATACAAAATGAAATCTGCCCTGTTAAGTGTACCTTTCAATGAGTTTTGACAAATGTATGTCGTTTTGCGATCACCGTGGAAATTAGAACATCCTGTCACTCCCCAAAGGCCCCTTGTTGCCCCTTTGCCTTTGATCTCCTCCCCCTCCCACCAGCCCCTGACAACCACCGATCTGATGTGCATCCTGATTGATTTGTCTTTCCAGATGCCTTCTAGTTGAAGCCAGACCCCAGGAGCCTTTGGGTGCGGCTTCTTTCACGTAGCATAACCCTTCTGATATCTGTCCATTCCTTTGTATTGCTGAATGGTACGCGGCCGTGCCGCAGTGTGTTCATCCACTCACCGGCCGATGGCCAGTTTGGGTTATTTCTACTCACTGACGATTGTGAATGAAAGTGCTGAAACCACGGACATGGATCGGTGTCAATCCACCTTTCATTTTACTTGTGGTAAATACTGAAGCGGGGGATTGCTTGCGCATATGAGCAGCCTTGAAGAAGTTTGCGGGCAAAGGGAATGAAAAGAAATGGAATTTTTCCATGAACCATGGGAAAGCCCCTTGTATTCAACTTTAGAAGAAACGACTAAACTGGTTTCTAAAGTGGCTGACCATCTTGCCTTCCCACTAGAAGTGTATGTTGTTTCCATCATACTTGATATTTACACATCCCAGCCTCTTAAAAGATGTTAGCTTTTTCTGCACGTTTCCAAATGAGTTATTTACAGTGATTTCTTTCTTTTTTTTAAGTAGAGGCTCAACTCAAAATTCCCTACATTAAGTCAATTCTGACTCATTGCTTGCGATCCAATAGTACAAAGCAGAATTGCCCCTGTGGGTTTCTAACACTATAAATCTTTGTGGGAAGACAGAGCCTCATCTTTCTCCCTTAGAGTGACTGGTAGTTTTGAACTGCTGACTTCTCAGTTATCAGCCCAACTAGTAACCCACTATGCCACTAAGGCTTCTCCCAAAAGTGGAGGCAGCTCAGTGCAACTCTGTATATTATTAATATCTATATGCTAGTCGGTACGTAATGATCTCTCATTGTGGTTTTAATCTGTATTTCTCTAATAGCTGCTGCTGTTGTGTGTCTGTTTATGAGCTTACTTGCCACTCGTATCATCTTTAATAAAATGGATATTAAAATTGATTGTCATCTTTTATTGGATAAATACCTTGGTTTTGTGTTGTAAGGGGACTTCATATATATGCTGGATGCACAGCCTTTCTCTTAGGTACAGGCTTTATAGACATTTCCTGCCAGGCTGTGTCTTGTCTTGGCATTCTCTTGAAAGCATCTTTGGAAAAGCAAAAGTTGTTCATTTCAATGAACTCCTCATTTTTCCTCTTTTTTTCCTCCTTGCATGGCTTGTGCTGATTTTGTGTTTTATCTAAGATATATTTGTATCACCCAAAGTCACAAAGATTCTCTCCTGTGTGTGTGTGTGTTTCTCCAAAACTTGTGTAGCTCTTCCAGTTAGGCTTATGATCCATTTGGAGTTAATTGTCATATATGGTGTGAGGTAAGGGCTGAGTTTGTGTATTTATCTCAGTTTGTTTGCTGTTGTTGTTGTTTGCAGCTCTAAAAATAGTTCTGTGGGGCCCTGCTATGACCTTATTACACAATTTACTGAAGCTTACATTGTGCCATATCCTCTCCAAGATGGCAGGCTACAGAGAAATTTGCTGACATGGAAAGCTAGTTGAGGGGATCGAATGGGATGTGTGCAAAAGGGATCCTGCATTCCTCAATCTGTTCCCGCCCCTTTTTTCAGGTCCCCTCCTGACCCTCCCCTGCTCTGACCTCGCTTCCTCAACTTCCAGCAGCAGCTGCCACAGTTGACCCCTCCCTGATTGGCAGATATTCAAAATTCTCATCATCAACCAGCTTTCTCACTTAGTCTGCACAAGGTAGTAGGGTTCTAGCATCTCTCTCCTGACCTTTAGCTGATGGTGAAAAGTGCCATTGTTCTCTGTTACCATATGCCACCAAGGAGATTAAAGCAACGGCCATCTTTGAGATCATTATTGGAATGCTTCAGTGGTTTAGGCTGGGAGGAGATACTTCTGAATTAAACTACAGATCCATGCCACCCAGTTCTAGTCCCTGTCCCCTTTATTCTAGGCATATTTGCTGCCATTCTGACTCTTCTCCTGGGCACGTCTATACAATTTATTTACCATGTTCAAGAGCAGCAATTGGCCCACTGGTTCCCACCCAAAGTGGCTAAGTTATGTACCCCAGGAATTCCTTCTGGGAACTTGACTGCTGGTCCAAGTGTCCCTATCCCCAGCCCCTTGCCATGAGACTAGAGGAACTGGATGATATAAGCAAATGTGAAGAAAGCAGATAGTGGCCGGATAGAGCGTCTGGGGTCTTAAAGGCTTGGAGGTAAACATCTAACTCAGCCATCTAGCTCAAACATTTAGGGACTCCATCTAGCTCAGAAGCAAAAAAGCCCACATGGAAGAAGCACACCAGCCTGTGTGATCATGAGGTATCGAAGGGATCAGATATCAAGCATCAAAGAACAAAAAAAAATCATATCATTGTGAATGAGGGGGAGTACAGAGTGGAGACCCAAAGCCCATCTGTAGGCACCTGGACATCTCCTTACAGAAGGGTCACGGGAGGAGATGAGCTAGTCAGGGTGCAGTGTAGCAATGATGAAAATACAACTTTCCTTTAGTTCTT